TGTTTAAGGCTTTGACCGGGATGTTCTTTTGTTAAATCTTATGTGGTACCGCCTGATTTGACTTCTAATGGTTAAGTGAAGTGTTTTCTTCGCGGTACGGTCTGGATTCGTAAATATTATGAAGACGAGCTTCGGCTTCAAAGGGTTAACCAGCTGATTTTCGTAATGGTGAGGTGTAGTGTTTTCTTCGCGGTACGGTCTGGATTCGTAAATATTATGAAGACGAGCTTCGGCTTCAAAGGGTTAATAATTAGTTTGCAGAAATAATTCAGGGTCCTTTCTGACATGACAATCCATTTCCATTGCTTATCGAGAACCGACAACTGACAAAAGATTAATACGAATTATGAATTAAAGAAGATATTGGAGAAAGCTACAGTCACTTGTTACATAAACGTGGATTTGGAGGCAGGGAGTTAGATACTGGCTTTCGAAAAATCTAGGCCGTACGCTGATAAATGTGAGTACGAGGAATTTGTTAGACGTCAGTTTGTTTTATGTTATTTATAACATCCTGGAAATAATTAGCTTATTATGCACATATTTAATTTGTCGTAACTGGTCTACCTGCCTCAACACTGCAACTAATGTGATGTTGTATTATTATTTGGTAAACGACTCAGACAACAATCCTAGTGAAGAAACCATTAGAGCAGTCTCTTTGAATGCAAAGATTTCATCAGCTACGATCCAAATTGATTCAGTTACGATGCTAGCGACCGTCCGGTTACATCTTCACATGAAGTCTGTATTAAAAATTACTCACAGGTTCCTTTGATCTCTATTACGTCATTCACACAAAAGATCCATACATCTGCGCCAACTCTATCAGCATTCATTAACTACAGAAGCACTAAAATCTAACACACTGCAGAAGGAAGAGAAAATGACAGCAGAAGGTCTGTATTTAATTTTAATTAACTTCTAAGAAGAAACGAAATTGTAATCAAACAATTTAAATGTAATTCCATATAAAAAGAATTTAATGTGCAAAGAATTCTTTTCTATGAAAGAATATGTGTTATAAAATACAAGCTTGCAGTAGTCATAAGGTTGATTTAATGCTTTAAAATTTAAATTTAAAATAGAATCTTGTTAAATTCTATTTATACTTGTCAAGAGAGTGTTTTTAAGAATACATATATGCGGTGTTTGCAAATTCTGAATTGTTAATACAATATTACATCAATTATCTTCATTAGAAAAATTAGACAAGTTTCTAACGATACAAATCTTGTGGTCTTAATGTCTTCATTAAGTAATGTGAACCAATACTGACATGCCACGAGGCGTGGTAGCTTGCTGAACGTGAATGTGTAAGGTCACAAGATCAATTCCTGGTGAGGTCAAAATTTTTATTCTCATATACAGCCACGTTTTTGTTTTACAAAAAAAACAAAGAAACACCAAATAAATATTTTGTATTTTTTTTAAAGTCTATAATCAAACAACATCGTACGAATGGTACTCTTTCCAGTGGTACTAATGTCAGTCCCACCTCACAAGTCTGTTTGTCCACCATGTTATTGCCAATTGCAGGAAATTTGAAGTGTGCTTTTAGGGTAGTACTGAATGACATAACTTCCATACCAAATTTCATCCAAATATGTCGAGCAGTTCTCCTGTTAAATCATGCAGACAGACATGAGAAGGCCTAAGTGTGTTCATTTCATGCATATAGTGCAAATAAAAATGCATAATAAGTGATTCAGAATTTATAGCATTGTAAATTGTTTGTTTTATATTATCGGTTCATGCACTTAATCGAATAAAACGTGTTATCATAGACGTGACGCATAACATAAGAAATTTAATACTGCATCATAATGCAACAAGCAGAACAACACTGACAAGAGCGAGCAATCATGAGAGAGACAGAGGACGACCCTTACCAATAAGGGGGTCCAGTCAGCGGCGTATCCAGGGTTGCATAGCAGAGGGGGCAGCCATGCAGCGTACTTCTTTCCGCATCCATTTTTCTTATTTCCATCATTTCTCTTTCTCTGTCTTTTAGGCTTGTGTTGAGTGACATTGGCTTCACGGCCTCCACTATGGTCCCCCTGCTGGATACGCCACTGACCCCAGTGGTCACAGATACTATCAGGGTTTTGGTGAGCATGGAGTGGATCTGTATTCTTCTGAAATTAATCCAAAATAACATTTTGCAAGTCCATTTCATAATACGTCATACAAGCATACCTGTCAATAACAGGCCTAGTGCAAAAGATCTGTTGATAATTCATTACAGCCAGTGCATAAGGGAAGTCAAGTCATTCAATGAACATGCTACTCTTTTGTTATTCAGATCATCTGTAAAGTAAGTAAATTTGTAAACTTTTCAGAAATAAGTGAGATTTGAGGATTTCTTAGTGGCGAGGATGACAACGTTGTTCTGGGTTGTGATACCGCGTAGATTTGTAGGAAGATACCAGCATTTCAGAGAATCATACTGTTGCCATCTTCAGCCCTGAAGATGAAGACAGTATGTTTCTTCAAGACGTTGGTGTCCACCTATGAGTCCACGTGGTTTCAACCCAGAACGTCGTCATCTTCTTTTTCAATTCAATTCAATTCAATTCTTTATTATTCAGAAAAAAATTAAAGTCAATGACTGGAATTTCAAAGGTATTATGATATTCTCTCCTTTTCTAATTTTTTTTCCAAACTACTATTAACATTTCCTACTAAAATGAAATTTCTTTAAAATGTAGGTGTTTTTCAAAAACTTACTTATAGCCATACAGATAAGTTACACAGACTTAGAAATAAGATACATAACAAGAATCTACACAGTGACATACAATATATGAGTATTAGGTGACCTTAACGTAAATGCACATCAATCTCACTTAATATAATCTCTGACGAATCTGATACCGTTAGTAAAAAGGTCTAATTTCCTTTTATAAGTGAAAGTATTTATTCCAGACTGCAGAATGAATGAACCATCAAACTACGCAGCTTTCTTCCTCATAAGTTGAGACATTTGACTAAGATTTGCTGTTTTACTTTTCATTAATTTCTTGTAACTGCATTTGATTACGTAACTTCATGTTTCGGTCATGAGCTATGACAACTGTCGAGTATTAACCAGCGTTTCGGCAGACATTACATTTCCATTCTTCAAGGTAAATGTTCAAGGGGAGAAGTTATCTATGTTTGGCAATGGGCGGTGAGTTAGATTTGATGGCGATGGTTTGCATGAAAAATTTCATCATCCTCTGTTTTCATGAAGATTATTTTTGTATCGATGCTGAATGGAATTTCGTTAAAGTCTCACAAGGCGAAGGTGATGGATTGGGACTGGAGTACAATTAAAATGCTAAGAATAAAGTCTGCGTTACCTTTATGGGAAGCAGATCACGATAACATGACAACTTTACGTATAAGCCATCATAAAGATTCATTTAGTCACCTTCAAGTATCGTATATTTGCAAAAGCGATGATAGCCAAAGAGAGTTTCAGGAAAGGTTTAACACTTCTGGGTTCTAATAAAATACACGGTCTCGTTCATGCCTTAAAAAGCAAATTCAGAACTAAATATGTTCAGCACTACACATGTAACATACGTGCAAAATGAAGAGTATCGAGAGAGGATTTGTAACTTGTGGTGGCTTGCATGTTTGTTAAACACCCAATTCCAATTTGAAATTTCTAGTAACATTTTGTAAACTGGACAGCCTGCATTTTTCAGAAGTGAGAATGCTTAATGCATCATTTTGTCCCATAAAACCCCCAAAACTACTCGATACCCGCCACCTTCAGCTCATACCAATTTCAAGGTCATCGTACGTGACTGGAAACTGCCATTTCCCATGCTAACCATCTGCGTAGTTCTGTTGAGATGCCAGTGTGGATGATTATGTTATGGTAGAATTTAGAATTTTAGGAAGAAAAGAATAGTTCAACACATGCATTCCTACAAAAAATAGAGAGAGAGAGACACTGACTATAATTATAAAGTCAATTTCTTCAGAACAATTTCCAAGAAAATGTATTTCACAGAGAATGTATATGCTAATGTATTGTCTGAGGAAACTTTTCCTGTTTTTTTTAACTTTTTTCCCCTGTAGATTGTTCTTTAGCCTATTTTTTGAAGGAGAACAACAATTTCCTTCCATTTTCATTACGTGTCTCGTGCTAAGTTTGTATGAATTTCTTCCTTTATTTGAAACTGAAATTGAACAAACTGAGATTTTAAAATACAATTTTGAAAAAAAAATAAACAGGTGAGTTTCGCATTGCACCCGACGCCTGGGGTACCGTGAAACAAATGCAGCCTATTTTTGTTTATATAATTTGGGCGACTGGAGATTTATCCTGATCTACATTATATTACTTTCATGAATGAAGAAAGTGTGTCAGGTCTGTCATTACTAGGTTCATTTTCCTCTGTTTCACACAAGACTACAACAACAAGAATGTGATGAAAAACAATCCATTCATGAAAGAGTAACATCACCTCTAAGCCCATAAATGATCTATTTCCGCAACGTAAGATAATGCGTGTTTCAAATAATAATAAGTTGTAACTGTAATTTCAATTTTTCTGACTAAAAACGGGAAATGTGATACGATGTACTTCAGTTAGACTTGGGAGGTAGGGAATGGAGTAGTTCTGGTCTTCAGATCATAATAAATAAATAATATTTCAGCTGCTTAAATCTTTGTATATTTATTAAATCCCCATTCATTTCATATCTGGATAACATTACAGTTTGGTTATGAAACACGATCAAAAACTTAGCTTTCTCTATAATTATTTCTAGACAGCTTTCCTTATTAGTATTTAATTCAGCATCTGTGTTCTTTTTTATGATAACATATTATAAAATTTTATAAACTTTTTTTTAAAAAATTGAAACAAAACAACATTTTATGTATTAATCACAGACTGCGTTATTATTACTGAAATTTTTTTTAAAAAATTGAAACAAAACATTTTATGTATGAATCACAGACTGCGTTATTATTACTGAATTATGGAATTTGTGCAGAATTTTGGAATTCTGAACAGAACATAACAAATGGATCAGTTTGTGTGGATCAGAGTTTGTAAAGAAAGACCTTTTTAGTTAATACCCTGGGCCATTGTTTGAGGTTAGGTTTTTCTAAGGCATCCCGTCTACCTGAAGACAGAAACATATCATCCAAAATCCATAATACTGAGTAATTTTCAGAAAACCAGATGTTGGGCAAAGTCCATAAATCCAGTAATAGTAACAGTAATTGTCCTTCAAAATTAAATAGACTAACGTAACTTCATATTACTTTAAGTCTGAAATATTATTTACATCTAATGGATACTAAATGAGAGGTTCGTTAAGATTAAAATTTACAGTCTTCGTCATTACTACAGCCAAAATAATATTTTAAAAGACAGGTTTGATAAGAATGTTTCACGAGGGAATATCTGAGATACGGGAGTTTTTGTTGCAACATCTGACAGGCACAAAGTGTACACGTAACTGTTGCCTTCTACGTCTGCATTGCAGAATTCCAAAAAAAAAAAAATGTCTAATGTCTTGTGGCATATGACAAGTTAATTGAGTTAGCTGAATATAATAGTGCACCGCGATGCTATATAGTCTGAGCTTCTGAAATAAATATATAAACTATAAATAAATACGTAGTGCACCATAATGTACTATGTGTCTTTCATTTGTGTTTAGGGAACTAATTTGTTATATTCTGATGTCTGCTTCATATCTTCATCAATTCTTTCATACTGATTGGTGTACTCCTCAACTGGTCTGTTTGCGCGCAATTAGCATTTTGTCTCACGACAGACAACGCAGGGCTACATCTAGAGGTAAGACACATACCATCGTAGTCACCAACAAATTGCCCCACCAAATGCACGGAACTAAGTCAATACTGCAGTGTTGTCAGATTTGCTACTCTGTGGGTTCTGAGCTGTCTTTAGTCGTCAGGGCTACATTGTTCATGTTGCAACATTGTACAATTTCGCTGTGACCTTGAAGCATGCTCTTTTCTGATGCTAATATTAAGCAATAACATACGAAGTAAATGTTCAGTGCCTTAGAATTTGTTGTTATACGATCCTGCACAAACATCTTCATACACTTTTAAAACGATGATTTTATAGAGGCTGATTGAAATCAAACTAGCAACTGGCTCCGGGTTAGTTAATGAACGGTCTGTGTTGTGACTAGTGCTTGAAAAAGACGTTAATAAGTCTGGGATGCCAGAAGGAAGGGTGTGTTGGAGGCTGATGGATATTTGGCACTAACCAAGTCCAGGTAAGTCCTGACCAGGATGCTATAAGGCCCAGACCTAAGGTCAAAACTCCAATTAAAGAGGTCAATCATCTTCAAGGACCCAGGGATTCTGTAAGAACAGGGACCTGCAAGGAGGCCTTGATTAAGGTCGCCAGGTAATCAGATTCCCATATCACCCAGATGATCGGCACGTCTCGGATTACGTTGTAATGTGTCTTGCCTATCCGTGTTTGAGTAGGGGCATGCAGACAGTTACTCCACGTCTCTGCGACTGGCCAAGATGAAGGAGAAATATAAAAGTTTGTTGGGAAAGAATCTAGAGTAGAAGTACCCGAATCTGTGAAAACATCTCGAGATGCATTGTGCACCATAAAAATTATGATCGGTGGTGATATTTCACTTACATTGCACCGAGGCAAGACTATCAAGAATGTTCTCATCACACTGTCACCATTGGTACAGACCAGAAGACTCCAGAAAGAGGGTCACATACTAATTAAGATGGCAGGGTAATATTCTGTCAAGGCCTTGTCAAGAAGATGGCAAATAAATGTTTTGTAACATTTCTTAAATGGCTGCCGTTAGTGCCATGATGGAATCCAGAAAAATATTCAGTAGGAAACTTCCACAGAAGAACGAGAATAGTGTGAGAGTTTCTTCAAATGAAGAGTCCGGTGATGATTATGATGAAGAATTACAAGAAAAATTAGACCACATTCGAGTACTCTAGAGCAGTGGTATTTAACCTGGGGGTACGCGAAGACATCTCAGGGGGTACGTGAAATTTAAAAAAAAAATATATATATTATTTTATGATAAACACTGAATAATCAGTAATGTAATTTATTTTAGATGTTGATTATATACTATGTGTAACTGCATCTCTTAAATGTCAAAACATTTCTACCATGGAACATGGCACAGCAACCTATAAGACAGACATCTTGATGCAAGAAGTTGGTTTACAAATTGTGTGCTCGTAAAACTTGTTACTTCTGTGTTGAAACAATAAACAACTTTCAAAATCATTTGTAGTTCTCTCCATGCGTGAGGCGTGTACCGCTCATCTCCTCATACTTGAATTTATGGCTCTGATATTTGATGAAGTGTAAAAAATATGGGTCCTCCCTCCCTCCCTCCCTCCCATAGGTCTAATCATTCTCCTTAGCACTTAAAATGGAATAAGTGTTATAGATTCGTGTCTTTTAAGGTTTAGCGTATTGAGAAATGACAAGATATTAAAACATTCTAAACTCAATGGTAGCAAATATTATCGGAATTTCATCAGATATTATCTTAATCATGAACTCAATTTAGATTTGTTACTGAATTTTTTCCAAAAAATTTAAATTTACCTCAAACTTATCCACATTTTTGGAGGATTTATTAACTGTCATTTTATTAAGAGTTTTGAGCAGGTCAGCATTTTTCTGATTTATTCGTTACCTCTTAGCTTTCCATCCTCCCAGTCCTCCAATCGTGCTTTTCTCTGAACCTCCCCCCCTCACAAGTTACTTAGTTTGCACATTTTACATTCCTTTTGGATTTAATATCATGCCCACATTTGAAGGGCCATTTGACTATTAAATTGTTGTGTCCAGTTCTCCCGGATTTCCTGTTTATATTTGGTATTACAACAACTTTTGTTATATGTATAAAGACCTGTTGTCCTGAACTGCACAAAGAACTGTTAACCCTCATGGTCGTGACTTAAAATAAGAATGCACATGAACATAAATTTGATTCCCTCTGTATTTATTTCTATACCAACCTCCTCACTAAAGTCTAATGGAGGTTTCTTTTCAGAAGGTCCATGGTATTTATTCGGCAAAAAAATTTACGTATCATCATTGGCGAGAAGTTGTCGCGTTCCATTCAAATCCAATCCGTGGAGGACCTTTCTAATTGTGTGATATAGACCTACAGCAATCCCTCGCCAACCTCGGTGGCCGAGTTCCTGAAACTCACCATAATTCCAAGACAAAGACCTCGTGATGAAAGCGACCCCTGCAAATTTTCAGCAAAGTTAAGTCTTTTCACAGTAAACGCAGGACGTAAATTATGTAACTTTGCGTTTACAGGTAACTTTGGTATAGAAATGTGTCACATAATGACGTACTTCGATAAAATCTGGTTTCCAAAATCATTATGGCCCTGTTTCCCAAAAAAAGAAAAGAAATACCGCTGATACTTTAATCCGCGATTTCCAGCGCCCCTGTCTGCGGTACGCTGTTCGAACCTCACTTCATCACACAGGATGTCCTGACTATGAATTTCTGCACGTTCAAAAGGACCACTAGCTTCTCCTTCTAAATCTTTACCAACTTACCAATCATGATACATTCACATCCTGTTCGACGCTGTATATCTCTTGCACTTGATACATCGTCGTTAAATGCAACAATAAGTCGTAAGGCCTGAGCCTGGGCCTAAAACTGTAACACTCAGACGTGTGTGAATGGGAGAGACCTGGTGGTGGGGGTAACGTGGCTGTCGGGTGGTCCCGCCGAGAAACCCGGAAACAAAGATTCTACGTTGTGAACTGGGTTCCTAGGACTCGGGATGATTTACCTTGGTTGAAAATCCGCGGTCACAGACGCTGCATTTGAATGGTCGCTCCTTGGTGTGGCTCCGGTAATGGATCTCCAGCGCGGAGTTGCAGGCGAACGTCTTGAAACAGATGTTGCATGTCGTGTTGCCCGGGCGGACTGCAACCACACAACCAGTGACACCTGCACTTCGTAGCATTAGCGTGTTGGCGACAAGGCTACTTATTTTGGGCATGATTTGTTTAACAAGACTCTCAGTAGCTCAGACTATACAGCGTATAATGGCAAGGTTATTAACAAAACTGGAAAATAATAAGTGTGACCTAATTCAAGGCTTTTATTTCGCGTTTCCCTGGTTGGACTGAGTCAGTGTAGCCTGTGTCCTAGCCGAGATCTGAACTCCGATCTTCCAAACAAGTAGGAGTGATAACCACTCGATCACGACGTTCGGCTGTCGCTTACGTCATTAAAAATGAGGAATTTTAAAATGGCTGTGTCTTACCGAGACCTGATCTATCATGTTCCTCGCTCTTTTGCCTAAATCTGTTAAAATCACCCAAAAGAAGCGATAGAATTAGAAATCCCATAACCATAAAAATTTTCATTTCTGATCAACAGCAGTTATAACGTTTCAAAAGGTGTACTCCCCAGAGGTCATGTAAGTTCCTCATCCGTCGCGTTAGATACGTAGTTCGTTCGGCCACGGAGGAACGACAACACGAATTTGTTCAAATGACAACTTACATATGGATGGAAAATTTGTTCGGCTCAAGGACTTGGTAGAGAAATGGACAGAACTTATATATAAGATGTTTTTACCTTTTGCTAAAGCGTAAAGAATTCCCAATAGAGACACAGAGTTTTTTTTTAAATCAGTATTGTTAGGTTAGGTTTACTATTATCCGTGATATAATTTCATATTTTTTTTTCCCAGTATCTGCAAACAATACAAATATATAGAAATAAGGTTCATGATAAAATTAGAAGAATAAATTATGGGATGTTTCGATTATTAATGCAAAAAAAATTGGTCTTTCGCCTAAAATGCTTATAGCGAGGACACAGAAAGCAATCAATATGACCGTTGCTTGTGTGAACACAAAACGTGCGGAGCGGGTTATAAATTACTCGCGTATTCCAGTAAATAAATAATATTCTGTATTTGTAAAATTTGTCTAAGGAATTTATCTTCTAATTTTGTGAGAAACATAAATTAATGAGAAAAGACTTTCTATTGCTACATCAGTGTTGGATAGAAAAGAACACATTTTCAAATTACTAATACTACGGTTTACCCGGAATCTAAATTTTACACAATACGTAAAAGATAAATATTCATATTTAAAAGCCTAAAATCCGTTCTAAAAATAAACAGAAAGTTGCTATTAAAAACAGCAGAGCCTACACAGATTTCCAGCTATACAAATCTTGTGCTGTTAATGTTTTACTCAAGTGAGATAAATTTCTAATATTGCAATGTAATGTAGCTTTCTGGGGGCATATGGTCATACCATCCAATAACATTCTCTTCATTACTACTTGTCTTTGTGTTACAAAACGTAATTTATAATAACCAACAGCATCTATTATTAGTAGGGTAGAAGGCGCCATATTTCGGATGGTTTTTTCAGGTTGGATGGTTCGGATGGTTTTCAATTGGTTTTTGTCAGGAAGTAACCGCAGCGCTGTCGCTGTGGTGACCACAGGAACTTCCACCTCCTGCCCGACTGATTTCTCGACAGTGTTACACTGAACGTCGAAGCAGCAGTGTAGCACGTTGTTTATATGGACTTCACTACATATTCGCACATTAGAGCTCGTACATCGTGTGTTTCGATCGCTTGCAAAATCTTCTGTTCCCCGTTAAGCCGCCATATTTACTAGCGGATTGACTAATTTCGGATTAAGGACCTCACTTTATATAGCCCTATTTTTGTTCCTTCTTGGATGGATGACACTAAAAGAAAAGAATGGACCAGTGACTCCGTGAGAAGTGCAATGCAGGCTGCATAATCGAAAAAACAAGAAAATAGGTTTCCTGGGAGTTTTCGTACTGAGGAAGAATGGACTATGTAAGACTTGAGGTTCTCAAAAATTTAGTTGGTAAACCTGAGGGAGATAGATCCTTCGTAAAATCTACGACGTAGATACAAGAATAATATTAAAATAGATCTTAGGGAACTAGCTGTGGATTGGATTCATATAGTTCAGCATAAGGATCGGTGGCAATGTACACTCTTACATCATAAACGGCAGAGAGTTCCTGGACTGAGTGCACTGTCAGTGCCTCTCAACGAGGACTGTTCTCCACTGAGCTCTTTCGTCAGTAGTGACAGAATTCATTCTCCCTTACACAAAGAGACGTATCTTCGATATTATCGCACTGATGATAACACCCCGTTCAATGGTTGAAACAAATGACAGAGGCTTTCATGGCTAAAACTAGAAAGTTCAGTTTACATATTTTTTCTTTCATAACTTGTACTAACTTGTTCGCAGGCTATATAATTCATATTTTAATATATTATATTTTAGGAAGGGAGCTAATTTGGCCTGAACGGTATAATGAAGATAAAACACGGTCTGTGCATTACGTCACAGACAGTTCGTTTCCATGGTAACGGAAATTCGGGCCCATTAGAATGGTACTTATCCACAAATTGGTCCTGTATCGTCAGGACTAAACCGGCGTCCGAGATTCCTCTGAAATAATGGAATTCTTGTAACTACTTGGAATTTAAATTTATTTTATGTATGTTCCTTCAGTTAACGTCATATTGAATGAACAGGTAATTAAACACATGCGTGATATTCTTCAATCCGTCAACAGACGAATCTTTAAACAAATTGTACCAAAATTGACTGCAACCTCTAAAATGTGTAGGTATTAAAATGTTATGTGAACTGAATAGGAAAGATAAAATTTTTTGGTTTTTGAGTGTTGAATTCAACAACGGTCAAGATCCAAAGAATCGCTGTCAGACATACTGAACTTCGGACAAAGTTTTCTACGTTACAGTTTCTGGAAAGTGGAGTACTATTTCTAGGAATGCTTTAAATCTGAAAGAATAATGACAAAGCTCCGAGGAAATTGAAGGACTATAACACGAATTCGTGTTGGTCCTTTGACACAGAGCTAAAGAGTCTGAGAGGCTGGGATGGACTGCCTACCTGCGGGTCCGACCGCCAGTCCAATGGGGTTGAAAGCAGTAGACGTTAGGACAGACGAAGTCAGCGACGAGAGAGCGGAAGTCATAAGCGGCGAGGACCCCGTGGTAATGGAGCCAGGGGGAAGAAGGCCAAAGCCGGAGAAGACGCCGGGACCGAGGCCTGGTGCCGGTCCGGTTGCTCGAGGTGTCAGGTCGAGAGCTCCCAGCGAGTTGGACTCGGACGCTGCAGGACTCTCGGGCTGCTGCGACGAAGGCGGCCTCGGGATATGAAGTGGGGTCTGTGGCCGCGGAGGAGACGGCGAGGCGCGGACCTCGGATTCTGTGGGACTCCCACCAGGTACTGGAGACTTCTCCCCGTTCATCGGCGTGGGAGTGCAGGTCTTGTTCATCGCGATGGCAGAGTTGTTGTTACAGAGTTCTTCAGCAGATCGACTGAGTCCCGAGGCCGACAGCTGAGACGCCATGGTAGTGATCGTTCGAACCTGGTTCTCGAGAGCGGCAAGGGATGTCGAGAAGGAGGGAAGATGTTGAGGCCCACTGCTGTTCGTGTTGTCGTCTTCCAAGAAGTCCGCCTTGTTGACAAAGTCTTCCTTCATTTCCCGTTCGCGATCCCTGTCCTTTTCTCGATCTCTGTCTCGCTTTTCCTCGAAGTCCGGCTTCAGACCGAGGTGAAGACCCGGAGGAGGGAGTGGGGACACGCCAGGTAGCGGAAATCCTTGCGCTAGGAACGGGCTCATGGAGTTCGACAACGGGAATGCAGCCGGGGGAGGGTACTCCTTGATCTCGGCCGCCTGGATCTGCTCTGGAGTCAGATCTGTCGGCTCGCCCGTATGCAGGCGGATATGTTGCTGGAGAACCAGGGCATTCGTGAACTTCTTGTGGCACACGGGGCATTGGTGCAAAACGCGCATCGGTGGTTTCGCACGGTGCACTCCCATGTGTGTCTTGAGGTTGCCCTTCGTAGTGAACGCCCGCCCACAGATCTTACACTTAAACGGCCTCTCGCCTGTGTGCGTACGGTAATGCATCTGCAGAGCGCTCTTACAAGACAAAACCCGGTGACAGATCACGCACTGATTTGGGTCTGTCAGTTTGTGTTCAATGTTGTCCACCAGCTGCTGCAACTTGGATGTCTCCGACGTCTTCGTCACCTCGATCAAGCTCTCCCACGAGTTGTCGTTGCTGCCAGGTCGAGGCAGGAGGTTCGTGTAGATGGCCGGATCTTTCGCGGGGTCCACGTCGTTGGGGAGAGGAATGGGTCCGAGTGGCATGTGCAGGGTGTTTATGCTGCCTGACGAAGTGCTGCTTGGTGGTGACACCGTGTGTGGGAAGGGGATGGATGGGGGAAGACGCTGTCCGACCGACATATTCAGCTGTCCGCTACCGGATGCACTTTTACTCGACAGGTTCTCTGGCTGTTCCTGAAGACTGTCTTCATTCTTGTCCATGAGCGGGCTGTCGGGCTCACCCATCAGCATGTCCTCATTGCTGTATTTACTGTCGAGGCTGCAGTCGTCGTACGGAGGAGGTGAAGAGTAATGCTCCATCTCCATGTCGGCGTCGGGTTCCTGCTCATGGTCCGTCATCGGCTCTAGCTTCGGGCTTAGCCGATCAGCGCCTCCATCCACCGAGCTGCGCCCTCCCCGCTCGGAGAGTTCCTGCGTTTCTTCGTCCAAGGTCTCTTTCTTGTAGTGCTCGGGAGGTGGAGAGGAATGTGACGAGGGTTGGCTGAGAGGCTTGCTGAGGTTTTCTGGTAGGTCCTGCTCTATACGCTGCCCAAATAACGCGGTCTGTGGCAGGAGAGGTTTTGACTGAGGTTGAGGCGGTGGAGGTGGCTCGTGTGGCTGTCGATGAGGGGGTGGGGGGTTGAGGGGGTGCGTCAAGAGATCATGTGGTGGCGGGGGGCGGTATAAAGGAAGGGATGTCGGCGGAAAACTCGTGCCGGTATCATTCCCGGAGACATGTTCTGGTGCGACCCCATCTGGGCTAGGAGAGGTGGGTGATATTTGTCCAGATGTTCTGGTACGGGATTGGGGTTCATTTTTATGTGAGGAAACTTGGCAGTGTGCCTCTGGAAGTGAACTTTGAGGTTGCCTTTGGTGGTGAACCGACTCCCACATACATTGCATTTAAAGGGCCGCTCACCTGTATGGGACCTGATATGTATCTGCAGAGCCGAGTCGCTACCGAACACCTTCCCACAGTAGCGGCACCGATGCTTAAAGAATGGCTCG